AAGGTTTACTCTTCTCTGTGAATATTTTTGTGCTTTTATAATTTTGTCTCACATTCATGTATTATTACTATTCAATAAATTAAAAATACTCATTTAAGTTTACAAATTTGGCTATCAAGGTAGGAACAAAACTAGTAGCCATTAACCCATCAATCCTACTGTTATTTAACACCTAATCTAAAACCCATTTACTAGGTTGGGAATGTAGCATTTGCTACATACATGAGGTCCTGGGTCCTATTCCCAGCACTGCAAAAAAACCAAAACAAAACAAACAAGAAAAGATCCACTTACTAAGCTGTCTAATCCCAATTAAATGAAGTGGAAGGATGGTAAACACAGATAACTCTATGTCCTTTTTCCAAGCATTTCCAGTTAAAAAAAAAAAATCAGCAAATGCTGCTGTCCTCCAAAATAACGTTAGTTCCATAGGATGCTTCATACTTCACAGCATTTCAAATAAAGAATTAATTAGCTATGAAATAAAATAAAATAAATGTTTGGGAGGGTTGTTCACTTAGTTTGATAAGATATGATTTCTCACTTGGATTATTTAGATACAAATCATACACATAAATGTAACAAGGAGTGATATCCTGGAATCTAATGTACAGACATGGGCTCTATAAGGACTCCTGACTGCTGGTCAACTACTCAAAAAATTAGGCAAACCCGTCATGAGTCACAAAATGGATGAATACTAAAAGACTTAGAAATGAAGTGCAAAATTCACAGGTAATGAAACTCATTTTTATTACATTTCTGACAATATAAAACAAAGAGTAGACTTTATTTCCATGAATTTTATAATCTTATCATAGTTAACACTGTATATCCTCTAGGGGGAAAAGAAAGAAAGAAAGAAAAAATGCCATTAAGACAAACAAATCAAACAACCCAAAACAAACATCTGTTTTCTTTTCTCACATCTTAATAGCCTGGCTATTTTAGCTACAAATATTTGTTTTACTGACAAATGTTTCCAAAAAAGTTAGTTGCAATTGTTTAACTGAAATGGTTTATTCTTGAGCTGAACAAATTGTAAACTTTTCCAAAGTCCACAGGCATCTGTAAAAATGAGCAAGTATGGCCTGCAGATTCTCCAAACTGTTTACTCAGCCACATGTAGGGACCCTGGCGTGGTATCCACAGTGAACACATACAGGCATGTCAGGAACTGTAGCTGAGACCCAATTTCCCTGCATTTTGGGGGAAGATGTCTGGCAGCTTCCTGTTTCATCCTGTCACACTGAGTTCCTGTGAGGGCTCAGGGTTCTGCAACTTTGCACAAGAACGATCCCGTTTTTCAAGTACTTTGCTCTACTTTCTTGTGCCTTGGCAGGGATCAAAGAAGCAGAAGGAACAAATGGTTTCCCATGCATATTGAATTCCCTCTTACACTGATTTTTCCTCTGTCACTTGAAATTTAATATTGGCAAGATTCCTCTGCATCACCTTAGCCACTAAATTGTCTGCCTGTGGTCAGCACATGCAAAGGTGGATTTGAACATCGACTCTTAGGTAAAAAAATTAAATGAACAAACTCTTTGGAAAATTCACTTTTCTATGATAGAACTCATTCTTAATAAATAAGTAATTGGTTTTTATTTCACATTAACCTAAAATGTTTCATTCACCATTCACTTTTTTCTCTCTTTCTCTGACTTGTTTTATAACATCTAAGAAATATAATGTTGTAAATAAAGAGTTTTCTTAAGAGTTTAGGCTCAAAATTCTTAGCTTACTACCTCATGTTTGTTAAAGAATTATGTGCCTTTGGAATCCAATATACTAAGATTGATTATAGCATCCTGACTTTTGGCTACTAATCAAAAAAATTAGACAGTCCTATAAAATGAGGACAAATAGTGCCTAGCTCATGGATGTGTTTGTAAGACTGCATATGATATTAAATGTAAAATGCTAAGCCCAGCAACTGCATTTGGTGATACTTTTCTATGTATTCTTATTATGATAGCTGCTATAATTATTATGTCCTGAGAGATTTTGGACAAGAAATACGCTTTCAAACCAAATTATTTAAACTCACACCATAGTAAGATTCCAAGTGAATGTTCTTATTTTGGTAATATATATATGAATCATAAGATAAAGAAAAAACATTTTTAAAAGAATGGCTTAAGTGTTCTTTTGAAAAAAGTCAATTTATTAAAAAAATTCCTTCATGAGAGTATTCTCAAATTGTTAAATTTTTTAATCACGCTTTTGAAAACATGTTTTTGGTTATTTTGGTAATAATATACCTGAAGATTTATGAGTTCAGTACAAGATGTTATAATCTATACTTTAAGGGCTAAGAGATGAAATATTAGTTTAGGTATTAGCCCAAAATGAAAACACCCTAAAATATCTTTTTCTCCTATCTCTCTTTATTTGGAAAATTGAAGAGAATCAATCATTGACTTACTAAAGAATCCTTTTATAGAAATTAAATATGAGTGAAATACATCATTAAAATTTTAAGGTAACACAGATTTACTTATGATGCTGTCTGTAGTCTGAGGTTAAGCAAGGAAGAGTTAATTCTACTCAAAAATTTTCTTTTAGTCAGGCATCAGTGGCTTATGCCTGTAATCCTTGCTATCTGAGAGGCTAGGATTGGGAGCATCACAGGCCAGTCAGGCAGATAGTTCACGAGACCCCATCTCAAAAATAACCAAGCAAACTGGACTGGAATTGTGACCCAAGTGTTGGAATACCTACTTTGCAAGTGTGAAGTCTAGAGTTCAAACCCAAATACCACACACAAAAAAGTTAGAAATAGTAGAATTTTAATTTGTCATGAATGCTCTTCTTCTTAGAAACTAAACACATTCTCTACTCACAGAAAGCTATTTAATTGATTAATATGTCAATAACTGGGTGATTGTAACTAGTGATATATACTGTACACCAGCAAAATCCTAAGATTTTTTTCCTCCAGTAAAATATCTACATGATAAAAGCTCTAAGAAAACTAGGAATAGAAGGAATGTTCCTCAACATTATAAAGACTATATATGACAAACCTATAGCCAACATCATACTTAATGGGGAAAAACTGAAACCATCTCCCCTAAAGTCAGGAATGAGACAAGGATGCCCACTCTCCCCACTCCTATTCAACATAGACCTGGAATTCCTAGCCAGAGCAATAAGGCAAAAGAAGAAATAAACAGGAA